AAAAAAAAAAAAAAACCACAATAGAATTAGCTGGGTATGGTGGTGGATGCCTATAATCCCAGCTACTGGGGAGGCTGAGGCAGGAAAATCGCTTGAACTCGGAAGGTGGAGGTTGCAGTGAGCCAAGATCATGCCAGCGCACTCCAGCCTGGGCAAGAGTGAGACTGCATGTCAAAAAGAAAGAAAGAAAGAAAGAAATTAGCTGGGCTTGGTGGCGAATCCCTGTAATCCCAGCTACTACGGAGGCTGAGGCAGGAGAATTGCTTGAACCTGGGAAGTGGAGGTTGCGGTGAGCTGAGATCACACCACTGCGGTCCAGCCTGAGCAACAAGAGCAAAACTGCATCTCAAAAAAAAAAGATAAAATAAATAAAAAATAAAACTTGCGGGATGGGTAAAACAGCAACAATGAAGTGGAGGTTCAGACTATGGCTCTGCAAATCCCAACTTGGGTGACCAAGTCAAATTATTTAGACTAATTTAGCTTTCGTTGCCTCCTTTTAAAATATTTTGTCTGAATAGCTTCACTTCAAAAGTTCTAAGATCGTTTTGAGCAGAAATGTGAGGTAGACTAACATTTTCAGCTATGGTCACCCTAGCTGCAATTATCCAAGTGAGGGTCTGGAGGAATGAGAGTTTGGGGCTATGGCCGTAAAGGAAAGATGAGTCAGGTTCTTTGTATCACCTCTGTAATCCTCATCCCATTCTCCTCTATATTAGGTATTCTAGAACCTTTTTGACAATTTAGCATATGGAAGTGGTCACTTGAGCTGCATCCAAGGTCAAATTAGAGAGCAACAAGTGATGGTTTAGGAGCCAAAGATTTTTTCCCCCACTGCCTGCCTGAATATCGTTGGCATTTAGTAGTTCGTGTCCAGTTCTAAATGATCGTTTTACCCTAGATTTTACAAACAGTAGCCTCTTTGTCCTTTTTCATGAATACTCTAAAAAATAGCAAATATATGAGGAAAGGAGAAAAAGGCTGCACAGCATAAAGCTGAGAAGATTATGGTAATGGGTTGTCCTCCCACACAAGCCTTTCCTGAAGGTGTTCTTCCTGACATATCAGCTAGGTGTCCCTAACACTTCCTCCCCAAAACTGAGCCTAGAGATATCTACTCTAAATCAGGCTGGGCTTGGTGGCTCACGCCTGTAATCCCAGCATTTTGTGGAGGCCTAGGCAGGCAGATAACCTGAGGTCAGGAGTTCGAGACCAGCCTAGCTTACATGGCGAAATCCTGACTCTACTAAAAACATAAAAATTAGCCAGGCATGGCGGTGTGCACCTGTAATCCCCACTACTTGGGAGACTGAGGCAGGAAAATCGCTTCAACCGAGGAAGCGGAGGTTGCAGTGAGTCGAGATCGCGCCACTGCACTCCAGTCTGGGCGACACTCGGTCTCAAAAAAAAAAAAAAAAATGAAGAAAAAGATACCAACACACACAACACACATCACCAAACATCATACACGTTTATAAATGAGGGAGATAGGAAAGGGTCCAGAAAGGTGGGATTTGAAATGATTTATGAGTTTCAAAAATGCTGTTATTTATTTATTTTTTAAATAGATACGGGGGTTGGGTGTCACTATTTGCCCAGGCTGGTCTCGAACTCCGGACCTCAAGTGATCCTCTGTCTAGGCCTGTCCAAAGTGTTGAGATCACGGGAGTGACCTATTACGCCCCACCTGGCTTTTGTGTTTTTGGTTTTTGTTTTGTTTTGGTTAATTGAAGCTTAAGGAGCAGTCTGCGAGATCGAGCTGGGAGACGAATTCAGATTTCGCTGGGGGAACTGCGTGCGGAGTGTCAGGGTAGCTGGACCCTAAACTGGGGCAGCTGGACCCTAAGCTGGGGCAGCTGGACCCTAAACTGGGGCAGGTGGACCCTAAACTGGCGCAGCTGCGAGCGCGCTCCAGCGGAGTCCCAAGGTCATTAACCGACCTTGGGCTCCTGCGAAGCGGCTTATGAACAGCATCCGGCTGCCGCTGGCCTGCTGGCGCCAGGGACTTTCTTCCGCCTGGCCAGACAGGTACCTGTTTTTTGTTTTTCAAAATTCAGAAAGCATCTCCGAATGTGTGCCCAGAAGGGGGTGAAACATACTTTCCTGGCCTTTCTTTCACTTTGTTGTAGTTCTATGTGGATGAACAATGGGGAAAATGCCGCGCGTTTAGCCAGGCAGATAAGAAAACAGCCATACCCATCAGGCCCCCGACCCGGCGCCGCCATAAATAGACCCGGCCTCACCATTTTAGTTCTCTCTGCGGAGTGGGCTCGTGGGTTGCTAGTAGAAGAGCTGTAATGTTCTCCTACCGCGTGCTGCAGGCCCTGCTGTTGAGTGAGGGGGAGCAGGGGATCCCAATGGCCTGCCCTGCCTTTGCGCAGCAGCCAGCGGGCGGGTACGTCGCGGCCTGGCCGAGGGAGGAGAGCGCGGTCCCCAGTCGAGCTGGGTGAACTATCATTGCACACTGTAGAGTTTCTGGTGCCTCTTCTTGGAACTCGGCTAGCGGCGCCACAGCCCCTGCTAACTAATCGCGACATCACAACTGTGAGTGGGGTTGTGCGAGTGACTGTAAAATGGGGGTGACGGTTGCCCGGGGAGAGGAGGGGAGTGATGATGACCCCAGGTGACTCTGAGTGTGTCGCTGACGCCATCACCGCAGCGCTCTGACCGCCCCTCGGTCCAACATTCCTAGACCGGGCTCAACGAGGGGTTCATGGCCAAGATCTCTAATCCTTTGTTCCTGTGTTTCATTTCCCCGTTAGGAATTGTAAGACGTTCATCGCTGTGTTATCCTTGAGTAAAGGTGAGTATTAGGTGCTAGAGCCTTTTGAGTGCCTCTTGGGAAAGCTTGTTCCCAAGCAGGCTTTCGTTCATGGGGCATTATGCGCCTCCCTGCCTTTTTTTTTTTTTTTTGAGACAGTCTGCCTGTCACCCTGGCTGGAGTGCAGTGGCAAGAACACAGTACTGCAGCCTCCGCTTCCCGGGTTCAGTCGATTGTCCTGCCTCAGCTTCCCGACTAGCTGGGACTACAGGCCCGCCCCACCACACTCGGCTAATGTTTGTATTTTTAGTAGAAGGGGTTTCACCGTGTTGGTCAGGATGGTCTCCATCTCCTGACCTCGTGAGTCATTGCGCCCTGCCACTTTTTTCTTTTTTGAGCTATCCACGTACCACAGCTGGTGACCCTTGTATTTGTTCTTGCTATTTTGTTTTTGAGACTGTTTGCTCCGTCGCCCAGGCTGGAGCGCAACACCAGGATCTCCCTGCAGCATCCGCCGTCAGGGCTCGAGTGGTCTTTCCACCTCAGCCTCCTGGGACTACAGGCACGTGCTACCACCACGCCTGGCTAACTTTCAGTTTTTTTACAGAAACGGGCTTTTACCTTGTTGTCCAGGCTGGTATCGACCCCTGGGCTCAAACAGTCCTCCTGCCTCTATCTCCCAAAGTGCTGGAATTACAGGGGTGAGTCGCTGCGCCTGGTGTTGGTAACTTTCTAGAGACTACTTTTTGGTTTACATCATTTTCCTTGTGACTGTTGTGTTTTTACTCTTTTGGGGGACCGGGGGAGAGTCTCACTCTGTCGCCTAGGCTGGAGTACAGTGGCATGATCTACACTTATTGCAGCCTCTGCCTCCTGGGTTCAGGCGATTCTCCTGCCTCAGTCTCTAGAGTAGCTGGGATTACATGCTTGTGCCACGGTTCCCTGCTAATTTTGTATTTAGTAGAGACGGGGTTTCTCCATGTTGGTCAGGCTGGTCTCAAACTCAGGTCATCCACCTGCTTCGGCCTCCCAAAGTGCTGGGATTACAGGCGTGAGCCACCTTGCCTGGCCCATATTTTTACGTTTTAATAAATCCCCGTATTTTTGTTGAAGGCTGGGTAACCTGACTTCCTCCACTCATTTCTACTGTAAACGAGGAGTACACTGAGACCTCCCAGAGGAGCTGTTCTCTGCAGTTTTAAATTACTTTTTACTACTCCCTTTCTAACGTCCGTTCTTGGATTCATTTGTTAGACCAATATGTATTGGGACTGTTGTATTTTGTTTGAATGTACTAGATAGATCTCTTTCCAGAAGGGCTTCCCTTGATCCAGATCTCCCTAATTGGGAATGATGATTTCACAGACTAGAGTCTCTGATGCTGGTCATGATGTCAAAACTAAGTTCTGACTCATTTAGGGAACTGGATACTTGGGTTTCTAAGAGGGACCAATGGAAGAGCCGTAATTCTGCTTATTCTCAAATTGTTTTGTTTTCACCTTGTTAGAATGTGAGCTCTGGAAGCCCAGCCAGGGACAATGCTCCTTCCCAGAGATTCTGCACTAACCTGAGTGAAGGCCTAAGGTTTGGAACCTCCCCCTCGTGGAAAGAAGCTTTGTATGGCTGTCATGCTTAGACAATGATTCCTGCGACTTGACCTTCAGGCTGGGAGAGGTGGAGAGCCATGCCTGGTCTCCTTCGTTGCTATGGTGACTATCCTTTGTTTTGGCTCAGTTGGAGTGGTAATGATGATCTGGTTGGACTAGAGTCTCTGAGCTTTTCTCTGAGGATCTTTGAACCCACCTGATCCACCCTCATGCTGCTTAGAATCTCCTGTAATTCACGTTTTTATGGCCAGTTATTTACATGAGGTTTGATTGGCTATGGTTCTGCAGGATGTACTTGAAGCATGGTGCTGGCATCTGCTCAGCCTCTGGGGAGGCCTCATGATACTTTATATTGCATAAGGTACAGAGAAAAGTAGGGATGTAGCATGGCCAGAGCAGCAGCAATGGCTGGGAGTTTCCTCACCTTTTTAATAAACTGATCTCTAGAGAACTGATTGTCATGAGCACAGCATCAACGGGATGGTACTTAAGCCATTCATGAAGAATCCATCCCAGTGATCCATTACAATTCAGTATGAGATTTGGTGGGGAGACAGATCTAAACTATATTACAGGGTCTCACTTTGTGCACAGGCTGGTCTTCATCTTCTGCTTCAGTGAGCCACTGTGCCCCACCCCAACACGTTTTGTGTATTTTTTGAGACTCGCTCTGTCATCCAGGCTGGAGTGCAGTGGTACACTCTTTACCATGATATGGTACGCCATATCAGCTTACTACAGCCTCTGTCTCCCAGGTTCAAGCAATTCTCCTGCCTCAGCCTCCCAAG